GGGGTCTGCGGGAAATCGCACAACTTGTAGCTGAAATACAGCCAAGATGTGGGCGTGTCGGCTTTGGTTGGATGGACTGACGAGGCGGACGGACGGAGGTCGGTACGCTGCAGGAGGGGGGTTCACTGGCGGCGGTTTGGTAGGGCTGCCGCTCGACTTGGATGGTCGATCCATCATTGCGTTTGCGGTGCCCGTTCGGCGAAGTCCATGATCGGACACAATGCTCCTGCTTCGAAGGGGCATCGAGAGCTTTCGAATCGATGCGGATGCAGCGGCGAGGAGCCCCGTCGGTGCTTGTGGATAAATCAATTGCGTGGCTTCGTCCATGCGTCCGAGCGACAGCAGCGCTAGGCCCAAGCACCACGACGCATGCGGGTGCCTGGACGACGCGTCCAAGACGGTTTGGTACATGGCCACTGCTCCGTTGGCGTTGCACTGCTTAGAAATATTAGGAGCAACCATAGGAGCGACCAACTTGCTGGAAGCAGAGGGTCCTTCGGTGGAAAGCAAACGTACTTGGATGGCGTGCATGCACAGGGCAGCGTCAAACTTGTCGGAGGACTGGAGGATTCGATTCCACGCTCGTGGGGCGTCCAGAGCATGGAGGACAAGGCCCACACGCTCGTAGATACATGAGCGAATCCATTTCTACACCGGAAGCGACGGCAGTTTACTTTCAACGTTTCGACGTGGAAAGGATATCCAAGTTCAGCGCCGAGAAGTTGGCCTTCCTACCTGCAAGCGGAGAATCGCTGACTGGCACCGACAACTCCATGTCACATGCTCTCGTGTGTACGAGCGCGGTACAGCATCGATGAAAGGACAGAGATTGTCGGGACGATCCCAGTACGTTCGGCAAGTGAGCGTGTTGAACCTGCGTGCATGATGAACCCTTGGTTTGTGACGAGGGGTTACCAGAACAAGCGGTGAAACTCTGGAGGTGGTCCTGCCGCAGCTAGATCCACAAGCACCTCGCTCGCCGGCATTTGCATGAGCTTCCAATGGCCCCACAATCCCACGCACGTCGACTGTACGTAGATGCGTTGCAGCGGTCCCTGGCATTTCAAACTTCCCCCCTTCACGCACTTGAGCCGAAACGCTGTGTAATTCTACAACACCACCGCAAGTCAGCCGCGCAACACTGTCCCTCGACCGCACCTCGTCGAGAAAAGTGGTGGCGGCGGCATCCGTGCTACTCTGGCGACGCTTGCCTTGCCGTTGGAGCTTGTCTTGGAGCGCCAAGCCGCGTTGGTACATGAGGTCGGCTACCTCGGCGTCTTCGTAAATGCACTCCATCAAGAGCGCGTAGTTGAGCCACGCCCATGGTTCGTGTGGGAACACGACGAGCGCGTAGCGAAAGAAGCAGCGGTGGGCGACGCGAAAGTCGGCTTTGAAGGACGAACTGGCCCGTCTTGCCTCGATGAGCCTTGTGGCCGCTTCGCGAGCTGAATGGAGCCGGGGCGGCTGGCACACAGCCAAAAGAAACAGGGCGTAGCAACTCGACAGGACGTGATGCTTGCTCACTGCCAATGCCTCTTTGTACAGCTCCTTGGCTCGCTTCCCGTCGTTCTAACATCGTTCGTTCTGGTCAGTTGATGGTGTGCGAGGTGGGAACATCGGCGATATTGTACCTCAAACGTGTGGACGTGAAGCGCGTAGTTGGTCACGGCCGCAGGTCGCGTCGGGTCGGCGTCATATTTGGCACGTACAGAGTTGTGATACTTGAGGGCCCGCACCAGCGACGCCAGGTCATACGCCACGGGGTTCGAGCAAATGACATGGCGACGGTAGAAGCGCTAACAACGCACCACAAAGGTGATCTCAATTGGGCGAGAATTCAAGGGGAATAGTCGACATAACGAAGATGGACTCAAGGACAAAGATCGGGTGGTGTGCGGCACAGTACTTGTAGGACGTGGACGCTGCTGCGCTCATGGTGACTGTGCTTGATGGAAGCGTACGCAGTCGGAGGCAACGACCACAAAGTCAGAGTGGTCTTCCCGTTGAACCTACTCATTGCATCATGTCCTCGCCTCGTTCATGAACGAATATTGTCGAAATGGTACGCACCAGTACAGCGAGAGCAGGCGCGAGTCGGCTGACACGTTGCAGCAGGTCGACCAGTCGGACAAGATGGAATGCGGACGGAGGACCACGGTGTGTTTGGGGCGGTGCATGGGACCTTCTTGGGGGTGCATGCCCATGGGAAGACATTGCAGCTGGCATCGAACGGACGGCTAGTCAAAACGAACATCGCGACGTTGAGCTGCTACCGACTTTGGTTGGGAACCAAGGACAACACACGGAGCTCCGAGCGGTTGGTACTCATTGTAGTGCGACGTACCAGAGCCAGGCCATGCATGGACCGCAGCGCGGCCCAGTGAAAGCACTGGCGGGCAATTCGAATGTTTAGGACGACAAATTCGTGGACCAGAGCAACGTTCAACACGATCGTCGGGTTGCCTTGGTTGACCAACAACCCAAACACAAAATAGTGGCCGATCCACCACAGATCGGTCCCCTTTCTACTCTGTGGAGCTTTGGCATCGACGACAGCTGCTTGCTGCAGCAACGCTTCCGCCCGTCGCGATACCTACATGAATTGGGTCCTTGGATCTTGTCGTTGCGACGCACATGCACGCGTACCTGGTGGAGGGGCGACTCCGATGCGAGATAGCAGAGCGCCAAGCACTGCATGGCAATCACATTGTCGGGTTGCACAGACAGAATCGCCGAATACATCAACGTTGCTGCTGGAACGTCGCCCTTGAGAGCATGGACAGCTAATGCACGCTCGATGGAAGTCTCAACTTTACGATGCGCCTGTGTGGCTTGTGCTAGTTGTGGCAGGTAAAGGCGGCGTAGTTGGCGCCACAAACTCCCGCGCGACCGCCAGAACGCCTGCACATATTGTCTTGAGGCCAGGTAGATATCGCTTGTCGTACTTGCAACACTTTGGCAGCGACGGTCTGTTGGGAAGTCGGCACGGACGGCATCGGGATAGGTTTTGCCCAGTATGCTTTGCCAGTTTTCGTGTGCACGTAATAGGTTTTTGGGTGGTGCCACGACGCCATGCTGTATTGCTGCCACTCTGTCGTCGAAGGAGCGCCAAGAACAAAATTTGCCGTGAGCTGCATGTGGTTGGATGGACCGAATTCCTTGATCGCGTCGTGGTAGTGTACGAAGAATCGCTCAAGCATCTACGAACCACCATTAGTTCCATCATCGCCCGCGCCATTCCATTCAACATCTCTTGGCTCCACGCGCAATGCAGCTGATGCTTACTTCGTGGTAGTGACGGGGACAGGAGGTGCCAAACGCCCGAATGCACCAAGCGTGGGCGTCTGCCAATTGCTTGAATAAATGCAAACTTGCCATGGCCAGCATCAATCGAACTTGCGTCGCAGTCTCGGGGGAACGTGTGGTCAAGAGCGTCCAGTAGAGGCAGTCCCAGGCAAGTTCCCCTCGAGCGAAAGGGGACTGTTTCAAGTGGTGGGACGAATGGATCAGCTGCATGGCATGGAGGTTGTGAATATCGCATTTGGTCACCATGGTAGCCAGCGAAATAACTTGAGTCAGCGCCAAGTCTTTCGGAAACTGCACTCGACCTCGAGTCCAAATCGCCAAGCCGCCGTGCAGGTCGTTCTAGACATTGGCTCAATCCATGGCATTGGACAACACATGGATGTACCAGGACACACCATCGGTGGAAACCTCGTTGAAGCCACAGGACTGGCGACAACATGTTGGACGAGTGTTCGCAGTCATCTTGCGGCGGGTGCGGCGCCATGTACAACCATCCGATGCGTCGAGAAATACCATTTTGATGGCACGTTCGGTGGAATCCGGGGGGTCCAAATTGTCGGAGGAAGCGCTGCATGGACGACATTGTGGAAACCGGAAAACGTGGAGCAATCTTTACCTGAATGCGACAGACAACGTCGTCGCGATTGCTCCGCGCGATGGGAATGCGGAAGAGCAAACGTGTCGAGTGGACGACAACGCGTTCGGTGACGGTGTTGACCCTTTCGAACCATGACATTTACCAAATGGATGGATGAATGGGGCGGTGGTACCAAACATACTGCCCTTCCCACACTCGTGCCCGTTGGAATGGATGGCCAGCAGTAGATGCCACAACGACCGCGTCTTGCAGCGTACGTCGCGACAACATGTGTGGCGCTGACCGTTCAAGCTGCCGCCAATGCTATCACATCACCGAGTTAGCGAGAATCGACAGAGTCGCATTTGCAGGGTCGATGCACGCACAAAATATACAGCCGCCTTTGCCAGCGGCCCGTCGGTGGACAAATCTCGCCATCGTCGGTAGAGGCGGTGAGCCATCGCGACGTCACCTTGCATGTACTGAGCAATGAGGGCAAGAAATAGTACAGGTCGGGGAGACATGGGATTCTGAGCGTGTGCCCATTCGAAGAACGGAAGCCCATGTTTGTCCCACATCGCTTTGGCTTCCGAGTTGGAGCGATACAGTGTCTCCAGGGCAAGAAGCATGGACGTACTCCTGACGTGGGACGTCTGGAGGTCCGTAAAGCATGCCAAGACGCCGATGGGGCACAGGAGAGGGTCTGTTGCCCACGCATCGTCGATCTCGCCAGCCACGTCCGCATTCTACGATATCCATGAATGGCACATGAACAGCATGGACAAACCAACCAACCTGCACGACCAGTTTATGCACGAAATGACGAAACACGCAGTCTCGGTTGCCTGCCTCGGGGGTCGCTGCTGAGAGCGACCACAATGGTAGACTGGTCCTGACGACGTCCAGTCGAGTTCGACCAAGCGCAATGGAAAAGAGGGGAAAATGAAAGGTGCCCCATCGCTTTCTCACACGTCTTTGGATCGTTTGGGCAGCCACGTCGGCAGCTTCTGGGACAACGCTGACATCGACGCGCCACTTGCATCGATATGTCGCATCTTGTCGCCTGGATGTAGGTAGATGAGCCCGCTTGCCGTCGGTCGAGCCAACTTTGTGCGCTTACCAATACACGTGTTGATTCGACTGGACGCGCTGCCATGTCGGATCACGGAGCTTCCACCCGGGAGGATGTGGGAGCAAACGAGCGGTGTTGCGACTGTCAATCGGTGGGGAAGCCCCCATGAAGAGCTGCTTGCGGCCGCGCTGGCTTAAAAAGTCACGGTACAGCTACGAATTGGAAGGTCAATGCGTTGTTGCGTGAAGGGGTCGACCAAGACATACCAACGAGAACAGGTCCAAAGTGGCCACCGGTTCACTTGGACGGCAAAACTTTCTGTAAACGCCCTCGGACAATTCAAACTCTTTTGCTATGCATTGGAGACAGAGAGCGTAGTTCAACCACCGCCACCACGGTGTCGACAGTGCCGTCGATGACATTTCGAGGGATGGGTGGGCCGAGGCCGGTTGTGCGGTCAGCGCGAGGCGAGCCCATCGAAGGAGAACTTGCACTCCGTCCGTGCGGTCAGCCAGGATGTGATGAAATCGACGGTACACTTGCGTCCATCTCTGCCAACGGATGCTTGAGATGCTGCTTCGTTCTTGCATCATCATTGCTCGCTGCGCTATCAGTAGCCCTCCTGTCGCCACGGCATTCCAAGGCTCGGCGTACAGCACGTCAACATATGCAGCTGCAGCCTTGTTCCAGTTACCCTGCGGAATCCCATCAACAACGAGTCAAGATCGGATGCCCTGGCGAGAGATTTTTGCAAGTGCACCTCCATGAAGTGTAAAGTCAATGCGCTTTCCACGACACCGACAGACAGCTTGGGGAAGTTGCGGAATCCGAGAAAGTGCTTGCGTTCGAGCCACCGTCGTCCCCAAACCTTGGTTACATCAGCCACCACAATCGAGAGGTCCAAATCGATGTACTTGGAGACGAGTAGTCGCTTGGCACATCTGGAGTTGTCGAACGAATGCACGGACATTGTTGGGGACTTGGGGCAGCTCGAGACGGTGCTCCCACACTCGCTGCAGAGTCAAGGCATGACACCTATTCAGAGACTGTTGGAATGGCCGAGGTAGTTGCACGGTGGCGCAGGACCAAAAGTAAACGGGGTACTGCTGCTGGACACGGAAACACAGCCGACTCCACGCTCCGATGGTCGCGAGGGTTTGCGTGGTCTTGTCGACGTACACGGCGTGCGTGGGGCCACGCCCAGGCGATACACTGGATGGGAGCCGATGCTTTTGGAATCGAAACGACAGCTAGACATGTGCATCGTCCAGTCGGAGAGAAGCTATAACCCCAACGGGATAGATCGACACACCTTTAACGCCAGCGGAAAGTCCTTGTCTTGAGGACGGGCCACCGCCAAGGCAAACAATCGTTCTGCCATGCCAAACTTTTGCAGCACAAACTGAGCAAAGAGGGCGTAGTTTAACAGGCCCCGAACGTCGAGTGGATTGTTGACGACGACATGGCGGAGGAAGTTCAGTTCCATGTCGTGCAAATCGGCGTTGGAAAGGCCATCGTTGTCGGACAGGAGACGCACGGCCCTTGACGTACTCCCTGGCGTGGCGAGAACAAGCAGCCACAGTGCAAACCCGCATCGAACTCGAGGCAGCGTCATGTGGCTGTCGTACAGAGCTGCTATCGCTTGAGGGGTGTGCTGTCCCAAGTTTGAGCCGACAAACGTGTGGTTGCACAGCCTCGAGAGAGCAATTGTTCGAGAAGCTTACCCGAACAAAATGCGTGTACCAGATGTAGTCGGCGACATTTTCAGTTTGGGGCAGCGAAGTGGCTTCTTGCACCTGGCGAGCAATACGCGCGTTCACGGCAATGGCCCGCACCGCGGCGGAGATGCTGGGCATGTGCAGAAAGTGTTGTCGGGTGTGTCGGAAGCGCCGCTAGAGTAAACCGTGACAAAGTACTACAAACGAGGCGCTGGTTGTACTTGAAGCACGAGGACTGGGTTTGTCCTCGCGTGGCGATCGTGCGGTCGCAAGGGGTACTCAAATTCGTCCAACGTGGGGCCGATGTGCCAATTCGATGCCTCCGTTGGACACGCCAATCGACAATTCTACGACGGCATTGTAATGATGCTGCGACGAGGAAGACTATTGCGCACCATGTCGACGAGCTTTTCGGCATGATGCAAAGCGACCGCTGTTGTGTACTGAGCCTCGGCGCCCTTTCGATCCCCTCGGACGAGATGGATATAGATTGCAAAGGAAAGGACAGCCACGGATGACAATGGGTGGTTCACAACAGCCCAGTGGTAAAAGTTCTCGTGGACAAGGGCAACGTCTGCAGCATCGAGCTGCGGTCGGTATTTGCCCAAGTATGTCAAGGCTAGCTGCCGTCGGCCCATGGAACTCTCGTCCTGACAAGTCGCAAGCCAAAAGACCGCGCAGACACAAAGTACGAGAGCCACTTCGGAAGGCAGAATCCCGTCGTGCCACACGAACAAGCGTGCCGCGTCGTCGTAGAGAGGCGCCGCGCCAGCTACGTCGGCCTAGACATATATATCTCAGCACGTTGACGAGTGTCTTGCCACGGATAGCTCACGTGAAAGAGGTGTAACCACATCGCTTTATAGAGCAAAAGTCGTGTGATGTGGGGAGTTGGCGGGCCTTGGCTCTGCACTTGCCACCGCACGTGAAATTGGTGCAGGTTGATCATGGAGCGGACGCAGTCAAAGAGGCGTCGATTGTGTCCTTGGTTGCGAAGCCACGTCTACACGATGCGTTGGCAAGTCCATGCCTCGTGCGTAGATTACCGTACTTGGATAAGCATAGCCGCATCGACCTGGGACTTGCGCGAGATGGCAGCGCGTCGAGGGTAGATGTAGTACGCGTACGGCACTCTGGTATGGGTGTAATTGAGCACGAAGTACCACTCCCGCATGGCATTGACAGGCGTTGCATTGCGTAGCATGTGGGGCTTTGACGCGTCGCGCCACAGCCCTGAATCGCAAGAGTAGAGACGGTCAACTCTACACTTGACGGACCGAGTCGCACCGGCGTACCTGATGGACCATGCACGTATTGATATCGGTTCTTGACTTGCACACGCAGCCACTGATGGATGGCGAGATCTTGGACGCGTTGCTGGGCAAGTTTTCGTCGAATGTGACGCTGGAGCTCGACAACGACATGCGATTGCAGGAGTTGGTCGACATCGCTTGATGGCACGACCGTGTACTGGCCGTGGGGTAGAACGGAAACAACTCGCAATGTGTGAATCAACTAAGCCCGTCAAGAACTCGGGGTTGAATGGAAAAGATGCCAGTGGTCGATGCCGTACCGCATGCAAGTCACGTAGCTGGTTGGACGTAGACGGAAAGCACCACGTCCGGGAATCTCTAATCACGCCGCAGACATGAGTGCCCCATCGCGGTTCATGTTCTACTGGAGCCTAAACTGGATGCTCGACTCTCTGTAGATCGACGTACGCTGGATTGTACACTTGCACCACGACTTCGTTGCTATACTCGATGGCCTGGACGATAAATCGCGCCAGTTGGCGCTGCGGACGCTGAGGAATGTGCGCCACCGACAGCGCCTTGGCTAGTTGAAGCACGCGACGACCGGGACGCGCCGCGTGCTCTTTCATGTTTAGGCGAAGCGACATCCCGTGGAACTCGAGCCGACGGACGAGGTCGTTGCCGATGGTCGACCGCTCTGTCTTGGGAACAATTCGGTGAAGTACTTGCGTGGCCAACGGGATAACATGGACGGACGAGTCTCTGGCATCGTACGCAGTCAGCCATTGCAACGACGAAGTGTGTGGGTGCGAGTGGATTTGCAGGACAAATCGAACAAAAGTCTGGCTGTGGCGGCTGAAGAGCGCAACCACCTTGCCTTGGTGACGACGCCGTCGGCCACAGCTGCAACCACAAGCGAAGGATGTCATCGCACGGATATGACTTGCTTCCTGGTGGTGTGGTAGCGGGCGAATGACGGACGTAGCGATCTTTTGACGGGACCGATGGTGGTCGTATGCAAAGGCCAAAATCGCACGGTCGACTTTCTGACTGGCCGCTTCTCGTACACGGATGCGTCGGTGGAGTACCGCGCGACGGAGGCACATCAGCAGTCGCATTGCACATTCCATTTCGAGGCCAAGTCGAGCGTGGTGAGCGCGGATGGCTTGATCGTAGAGGTACTTTCTCCTGCAGACGAACCGACGCCACGTGGCTTGAATCAAGACGGTTTGTCGTCGCCGCTTCAAGAATCTGGTCATCCGTGCGGTCAGCTAGTCTCTCCGACAACACTGCCCCTCATTACCTTTGCCGCCACCATTGCATCCGGACCCTGGACTGGACAAACAACAACGCGCAGTGGTCTTGAATGAGTTCGGTCAAGGCCACGTCGGTAGCATAACCAAATATGGCGTCTTGCACGGGCAAGGGTGCATGCGACAGCACATGCGCAAAGAAGAACCGGTGTAGGACAAAGTTGGTGGTCAGAAGCAACTTGTCGTCGTCCATGTTTGTGGAGTGTTCGGTACTTGCGGTGGTGTTGGCAGCGCAAGGAAACGTCAAGTCCATGTGTGGGCGAAAGACGTGGGCGATGTCCTCGAGCGCGCGTCGAAACTGCGGCTTCAGCAGCACCACTTGTTTTATGCCATCAATGTA